TGAATTTGATAGATTCGTTCACGTGCAACAATATACTTAAAATAAGCTTGAATTCTTGGATGGTTGACCTTGCACCCGACTGTGTTAGCCATGCCCCTGGGATGCTTTGCTGTAAGCGTTTATACATAGACATTACCGCATCTGCACAAACTGGTTAAACGCAATAAACATTGACATAACAACAAAAGAAAACAGATAAGAAAAGTTCAAGGAGGTGGGATCTTAAAGTCAAAAATTAGGGTGCAACAATACGGTAACACCTTCATTGGTCATGGTTATTTCATTCAGACCATTTTGAATAGCGTCCCATATATCTTTGTCAATGGAGTTGGCGTGAATACGCATAAGAGCTTTCCAATAGACATAATTTTTGCCGGTGAAAGCTGGTGCTCTATTGTACGCTCCCTTAGGTTCGGTAGTCATTCTTCTAAAAAGTAAATCTTAAGCACGGAATTAACTGGAGCTTGTGATACCACTTGTTAGATGACAGACTTCGATCTAAAAGGGATGTGAATAGATCACAAATTTAAAACCAAAACTTTTGGCAAAATATTGTTTTCAAAAATATATGGCACAACAGAAACGACTCGAATTGAATCGTCTAACCAAACCTACTATCGAAAAGCTCGGATCTGCGTAACGTAAACCTATGGAATGATAATGAACACAAATTTTTTAACAACGATTAATTCACAGATCAATCAAATGAAAAGTTATGCGTAAAGCTTATTTCTAATGAACACAAAGCGATTAAAGTACTCAAAGAAAATTTATCAAACACTTTATATGTGATAGATAACGTTTGGATTTTCAATTTGTTTTGTTGATGTTAAAAGCCAATCACAATCAATGTAATTATGATATATCAACAAAAACACTTTAAAAGATAGTTGAAAACAATTTCCAATCGAGTCAATCAAAACAATAACGAAATCGATAAATTTCAAGAACAACAATTAAAGAGATAGCCACAGAGATTTTTTTAGGAAGTTTCTCAATCGGCCTCGCTATGGGTACATCTTTCCTCAATTCAAAATTGAATTGAGATACTTGTAATTAACCTCATCTTTGCAAAAATGTCTATACAAGAGGTGAAGAACTCTAACCCCCACAAAGCCTAGGATTTGTTGCCGATTCAAACACTTTCAAACCCTTGATCAAGTCACCAACAATGCTGCTACAACCCAGCAGTTATCCCGAGCACGCACTTTTTGAACCCAAGATTCCCGAACACGATTCATTGTTTCGCGCTACTCCCTTGCAAAAAAACCACGTTGTCCCAACGCTTTCACTCGGTCGAATCTGTGTTGATCTTGTCAAAAACCTTCAAATCTCAATGATCTTGAAAGAAAACCCCGCCTTGGTTTTCTTATTTAAAACACACAAAGATCCCAACCCAACATTCTCGGTTACACCAACCTAATTGGACGTTATCAACCTTAATCTAGATGGTCACCCAATCAAAAAATGATTATGTGCAGTTTGATTATGTGTATGCATAGAAGAAAGATTGAAGATGATGAGAATGCTTTATAATCTGATTTCATTCAGGTTTTACACTAGTACCTTACTAGAAAAAAGGTGCACACACACACGCGCACACACACGCGCACACACACACACACACACACACACACACACACACACACACACACACACACACACACACACACACACACACACACACACACACACACACACACACACACACACACACACACACACACACACACACACACACACACACACACACACACACACACACACACACACACACACACACACACACACACACACACACACACACACACACACACACACACACACACACACACACACACACACACACACACACACACACACACACACACACACACACACACACACACACACACACACACACACACACACACACACACACACACACACACACACACACACACACACACACACACACACACACACACACACACACACACACACACACACACACACACACACACACACACACACACACACACACACACACACACACACACACACACACACACACACACACACACACACACACACACACACACACACACACACACACACACACACACACACACACACACACACACACACACACACACACACACACACACACACACACACACACACACACACACACACACACACACACACACACACACACACACACACACACACACACACACACACACACACACACACACACACACACACACATACATATATATATATATATATATATATATATATATATATATATATATATATATATATATATATATATATATATATATATATATATATATATATAAAAGACATATCATATAAAAATGTCATTTTTAATAATGGAGGAGAGAGAAAAACAAAAACCACAAATAATCTCCACCATTTATTTTAAAATCTAATGGTTCAGATTCATTCTCATGTTCTCACATAAAAATAGCATTCTCATATTGAGCAAAAGAAATACAATAGCAAAAATGGAATTTTTAAGATGGGAAATCGTATATGTCGGTCTATCGAAGCAATAGATTGGCCTGTTAAGGTACTTAGGTCGGTCTATGAAGGTCACAGATCGATTTATGAAGGTTATGTGTCGCCCATGTGCCCCTTATCAGTGCATCTTCATGCACATTCTTCCGTTGTTATACTTATGCATTCCTACAGTTTATTGAGTATTTTTTACTATTTTAATGTGTTTTCATATTTAAATTTGTTTCTACCTTTATTCTATTTTCACACCTTATTTTCAGTATTAACAGTTATATGATATATATGTCCACTGTTCAGATCATAACTGAAGTTATGAGAATCGGATTGACGCAGTCTAGTAGGTGTTGAAAAGGTAAGACAAAGAGTTACAAGTTTCATGCTGAAGGCAGAAGCTGATTCGAAGTGTAGCGGTCTCGAATAATTCGTTGAAGTCAGGACCCAAATTTTGCCTTAAGGAATATTTAGTTTTGGGCCGGTTTTTTTTTATATTTTTTGACCCAGTTGGGTTAGAACTGGAATTTGTGATGCTTTCTTATACCTAGCACTCTATTCATCTTTACCATTCATCACTCTATTCACGAAAAAAACTTTTTGCTTTTGTATGATTACGATGGAGAACTAATCTCGAGGATTAATCTGCTGTAATCGGTTTTCGCCGACACTTTGAGGTTCTTTTCATTTTCAATAAAATCTATTTTCAATTCTTCTCTTTGATATCTTGTTTGGTTAATTTGATTTATCTTATGGTTGATTGGTTTATTTTGATGATTGCACATTCCTATATTTTAATCGTGTTTGCTTAATTCGTGTATGTTTATCGTGTTTGCTTAATTAACGATTGTTATATCTCATATGTTTGCTTAATTTGGAAATTAGGAATATCTATCGTGCAATATCAATTGTGCTTGTTTGGTTGTTATTATAATCGAAAAGGGAATAGAATCTGCTTAGGAATTGAGAATTATTTGGGTCGATGATAAGTTGGAAACTAAAACAGCAGATTAAGCGTTTCAGCTTATTTTGATAATCACTTAATTGCACATTTTTTTCTGTTAATCGAAACTCAAATCCCCCATTGTCCAATCGGTTGGTTAATAATAATACAAGAATCCTTGAGAATGATACTCGAGTTGTTGTCAGCGTTAACTATATTTTTAAAAATACTCATTTTTTATCTGTGCGTGACAGCGAATCATCAACCTAAGTGAGGCGGCCTATGGACATAGGCTACAGGCTTTAATATTGATCCATGGGAGGCGACCTGAAATTCTATGTGTCGAACTATACTGAATTTGAAACTTGTATAAGTCGACCTGTTTATGCATGTGTCGACTTGAAATGACTTGACCACCCAAAAACATGTTTTTCAATGTAATTTTGATGTAAATTCTTTTTCCAACTAACTTGAATGTTTCCTAAAACTAAGATGTTCATCTAGAATGGGAGAATACCGTCCAATATACATAATGCTACACTTTCCTAATTTTGACATCACTCAAAATCCAAAAGCACTCACAAATATAAATAAAATTAATCCTAAATGTTGAATTACATTCAACATGATCCACTATAAAAGATCAATTATTTATGAAACTCAACCTAATAGTCATTGTGATCTATGTTCTAATATGAAAACTTTAATTACAAAATTAGGTTTAAGTTGAGTCATTAATGTCAATATTAGTTGTCGTCTATCACAAAGGCACAAAGATATATATATATATATATATATATATATATATATATATATATATATATATATATATATATATATATATATATATATATAAAGTTATCTTAGGGTTAAAGTTAATTGTAGTCTATAAATAAACTGCTCTCTCAAATTGATCAGTGACAAATTGTTGAGTGAAAATTAAAGTTGGTTGATATTTGCTCTTTCCTTAACATTTCTATATTGAATCTTTGTTCTTTCCTTAACACCATATAAGAACATTTTCCACCAAGAGCCACGATATGCTTGTAGAAGCAAACACATCACACTCAATATACAAGGACGATGAAAAGAAAATATAACAAACATTGGATTTTTTTTGTTTATATGAATGTTATAGGATCAAAGAATAGATAACATCCAAAAATAAATGCACAATTGGAGGTTGCTAATTTACCATATTTAAATAACAATAGATAATGGAGAGTAACCGTTAGGAAATGGTAGTGTAGAATACATTCTCACGAATGTTCAACGTCGGAAAAATTCTGATTATGTAGCATACAATTTGATGAGATGTCAATAATGTGACCTGCATTTCTGTTTAAATAGACAAGAGCATAAAGCTTACATACAAACTAGTTACAAAGCTAGAGTTTGCAATTGCTTCATTCAATAACATATTGAAGCAGAAATCAGAGCCTTGAGTACAGTATGACATTATAATTAGCACCTAACGTGAATAAAAAGTTCCTATAAGTTATCTCTACAAACACTCTACAACATCCATGTGGTATCCTAACTATTGCCATCGTTTTGACGACCTTGCCGAAGCTGCAGAAGAGCTACCGGCTGTCGGTTTTTTAATACCTGCATTTGAGAAAAGAAATGAGAAGCAGAACAGCCCAGGGAGATTGGATAATATGGAGACATAAGATAACAGAATAAAAGGGGTGAAAGTGGAGTACGTACTTGACGAAACCTTTGAAGTGCTTTTGTTCAACGATAGCCTAGAAGATTTTGTTGGCGGTTTTGATTGGATTTGTGGAGCTTTGGGAATTCTTGATGGCATATTGGACCTGCATTCAATGAAAAATACATAGATAACAAGTCTGATTTCAAAGATAACTTGGTAAAAACTCTACATGAAAAAGTTTATTTAAAAAGAGAGAACTCACTTTTCCGCACTCTGAGATGGAAGTTTGTTGGATGTAATATCCTTAGCTGGTGTAGTTTCAGCTGCCTTATCAAGGTCAGGGAAAAGAGAGTACTCTACAATACTGCTGATTGAACCATCAGTTTCGGTTCCCATTGAAAGACCACCATCAGATATGTCACTTAATCTCTCCGACGAATCTGCATCTCCGAATCCCAAGAGTTCAATGTCGTCATTGAAATTTTGATCAGCATCTTCTCGAGCTAATTTCAACCGAAGGGAACTGGCCTTGTTCCTGAAGTCATCCGTTGATTGATGAGAACCAGCTTCCGAATGCTTATCACTGTACTCTGAGACGTTATCCATGTCAGAAGCTATTTTTTCATTGACCCCCAGGCTCCTAGTGCCAGAAAGTCTCGTGCTGTTGCGGGGAGTCCCTATGGAATGTCTTCTTGGGGATGATGGCATGTGTCTTGGTGAGATTGTTTCAAGTTTGGCACCATTATGATTAGACTTGAGCAACTGCAACCGTGCAATTTCTTCATCCTTCCTTGCCACAGCGTCCTTGAGAGATGTCATCTGCAAAGAACATACATACAAGTCAGTATGCACTGGTAAACGATACATCAATACCAGTTAAACCAGCTGTTTTCATTTTACAAGTATCGTGAATAACTAGGCCACACAAAAGGCCAACTAGCCACAAGATGATGACAACAACCCAATTTGTTTCCACCTCGTGAAGTTGGGATACATAGATCATACTCAAGCATCACTGTAATGTCTTGTAATGAATAATATCTAAAGATTGGACTATCCTCCATTGTCCATTTTGTCTAACCCTCCTAAACCAGAGCTTATATGGATGGGTCTTCTCCACATAAGCTCAAACCACTTGAGACAAGCCACCTCTACTTTTTCTCTCATGATATTTTTGATAATCCTATCTTGTCTTGTATGACCATTCATCTATTGTAGCATTCTTATATTAGCAACATTAATCTTATTGACTTTTTCTAGTTTTATTTCTCCAGCAGAACTTCCTGATCTTAACAATCTAACAAAGCATAATTGGATTTAGTTTTTCAATTCAGCACTTCGTGACCCATATGTGCAGATGCATTATCTATTTAGAATACAACAAAAATAAAAATAACCTGTTCCATTAGTTCTCTCACATCCCTTCCCTCTTTGTTGCTTCGAGCCGCGCCTAATTCAACACCAGAAACTCTTTCAGCAAACTTCAAAGTGCTTATAGTTTCAGAGTATGAAGCAACATCCGGATTAAGCTGTACAAACATAAGGGTTTTTGCTTGACCGCCTGTAAAACATGAGTAATCAAGCTATTAAAATTCAGTAAAGCTGCTAAATCAAAACACAGACTAATGAAACCAAATATAATAAAATGGCAAGTTGATTTCAATAAAAGCTACAATTACCTAACGAACTCTGAAGGAGTTGAGTTAATTTACTATTTCTATATGGCACATGTGCGCTCTTTTGAGATAGAGCATATATTACATCTCCAAGTGCAGATAGTGATTTGTTTATATGCTGAGCCTCCTTGAGCCTATCTCCAGTTGCTTCAGAACGATCCACTCTTTCACTTCCCGCAAGATCTACAAGATGCAGACATCCACGCAACAGAGTGTTGGTCTTCACTTCCGTTCCGCGAACATGAATAGAGAGAACACTATCATATGATCATAAAATAAAATAAAAATGAGGTTTGTTTCTCCATATTGGAAAATTGAAATGTGGGAAAATCTAAAAAAGTGTAAATGAAACCTGTGTGATCGACTACTTCTTTCGTTTAGGGCTGTAGCACTAGTTGCCCGATTCATCAACCCGGTGTTCATCAACTCAAGAACATCTTTCATAGACTTCACAGAATGCATACTTGCATCAGGAACAGCCAACCCATTTGGTAGGGTAGTATTCCAAATCCCTAGTGTGTGCAAGTCAAGGAAATGAAACTTCATATATTTTATTTTTAAACAGAAGTAAATGGATGGTAAAAACAGCTGCTTCAAAATAAATGGATAGCAATCAATCAATCGCCAATGATATATGCCAAGCCTTCGATACATGTAATGTGAGTTTATATGCATAGTTGTATGCCAATACATAAATGAACAAGAATGAAAACTTAAGTATGAATAAATTGTTGCATAATTTAAAATAAAAACGATTGTGGGGTTTGGGAATAAAAATGGAAAAGGATATCTCTTCTGAGGACCACTCTTCTGAGGACCACTGCTTGATAGTAAATCACGAACTTGTTCATTATAAATTTCAACCATTTGAACTCCAATTTCATAACCAATTGAATTTTCCCTACTTTGGGAGATATGGAAAAGATCATGAAGTGCCCGATAGTTGACTCCCCAGTCTGATTTTGATGATAGGTTAGGTCCACTCTAGAAGAAAAACAATTGTTAGGTAAAAATTTTAAACCACATATCTGCTCGGGATATAAACAAAATATTAGGCATACAAAATGTTACCATGGTATAAGTCTTTCCTGAGCCAGTTTGACCGTAAGCAAATATACAAACATTGAACCCATCAAGAACTGAACGAATTAGCGGTCGAGTGTCCAAGAATACTTCCTCTACAAAGAAAATTTTGATACATAAGTTGAACATTACTATTTATAACGACCATCTATTGAAATAAGAATACTAATAATAATACTCATAGGACAACGTAAAGAAAAAAAATGCAGCACCTTGACATGCTGCTTGACCAAAAACTTTATTAAATTTAAAAAGCTTGCGGCTTTCTTTTCCTTGTTTAAGAGGATTGCTAATAATTAATTCTCCGTCTTCACCAATAAACTCAACTGTTGTATGGTTCTGATTTTGCCCAGAAAGAAATGGTCTAATTCGACAATATACCCTGATATTTCCTATTCATAAATGGTTCAGAACAAAATAAAATAATAAATCAGGTTAGCAAGCAAGAAAAGGGCTCACATTTAACCTTAACATTGAACAATATGTACCTTTCAAATCTTGAACTTCATTATATAATTTCCTATTTTCTGTTAGAAGAACATGATAATTATCAGCAGCCTCTGCTAGACCTTTGAGCTTGATTCCTAAATAAGAAATTATTGTTAGTGCATCAAATTCATCATAAATAAACAATGGCTGTTAAATCATGAGAATTTCAAACATTGTATCGCACCAAAGTACTTGTATTCCTCTAAGTAGCTTCTTTTTGTTTTTATTACTTCATCTTTGACAGATTTCATGACAGCTTTCAATTCCTATAAAGAATCAAACTAGATAGTAAATAGCATAACGTAAAAATTACCAACTATGCAAACAGCATAACAAAGAAACAAACCTTGAAAGCTCCTGATTGTTGATTTAAAAAACTTTGATAGGTATGCTCTTTATTTTTCCAATTCAAATATCTGGTTTCCGAAAATGCCTCCAATTCCTTCACTTGCTTTCTCGCATCAGCAAGATGAAATTTAAGTTCTTGTATCCTTTTCTCATATTCAGCTTTAGATTCAGAAGCTTGGATTTTTAACTGCGAAACATGTTCTTCATGTGATCTTTTTGCTATTTCCAAATCTTGCTTCAATGCAGCAATTTCAATATCACTGCGAACTTTGTCTTTCTTTAATTGGGAAAAATCCTGCTCTTCAAGTTTTTTCTTTTCCTCAAATTTAGTTTGTTCAAGCTGCAAAGAAAACTAATGATACAAATGATTGTAACAAATTAGTTAATAGTAATCACATTAAAAGTAAGAAAATGTACCAGATTTGTAATTTTTTAAATCTAATATATGCTTAAATATAAATCAAACCATTTTTAGACAATGTTAAAAAGGAACGCGCTTTAACAGACAAGCATTTCATTATATATCAAGTTAATAATAACTCATAACATTTTAATTTGTATAACCAGTTTACATAAAACTAGTTTTATGCCAATACATGCTTTACTGCATAAGACCCATGCAATACAAGTGACTTCCTATCGTGTTAAATTATTTAATCACAGTATTTATTAGTTATTTACTTAATTCAAGGACATTACTCTAAGATGCAACACAAATAAGCCATGAAAACAACAATGAAAATAAGAATATATTTAACAAAATCATCTCATCCATTATCTTCAACTCAAGATAGAAATTAAGATAGGCTTGTACCTTCAACTTCTGAACCCAACCTGTCACAAGCTGTAGAAAGTGAAGAAAACTTTTAAAATTTAAATAAGTAGACAATAATAATATAAAACAGTAACATAGGCATCCAGATGCATCAACAAATAAAATACCTCATTCTCTTCAGCTGCCCCTGCTGCCAAGGTTTCAACAGCATTTAGTTTTGTTTGATACTTTCCCTCACGAGCCTTGAAAATATTGTTTTGCTTCAGGTACGAAACACATTAAATTAGTCATTGTTCAATAGAACTTATTAAACAAATACTTTTAGGCAAAAAAAAGGAATAAAGAATGATGAACTTACATTTTTCATGCTTTCTGATTGATTTGAAAAGCGTAACTCGATTACTTGCAGAATCTTTCTCAACAGGCATGCTGCATGCTGAGCCTAGAAACATATAAATAAATGGGAAATTGAACAACTGCACACAGTGGCACAATCAAAATTCATTTTGCTAGACAAAGTAATTAAGTAACATTGGGTATTTATTTATTGCTAAAGCATTTAGTTCGCTTACTTGAGGTATATCTCCATTCTTCCTTTCAAAGATGTCACTTAGGATCCTATTTAGTATGCTAAAAAGAAATCGAGTCGAGATACTCTGCAGAAAAAGATTTAATAATATATTAGGGTTGTAAATGAGCTAATAGAAATAACTCAAATGCATATACATATAAAAGTCAAAAAGAATTATCTAATGACAAGAGAAGGAACGAAAGGAATATTGATAGAGACAAACAAATTAAGTATATTATTACTTACGTCCAAATTGTTTGATTTTAATAATGCATTCAGTTTAGCATCTGAAAGATCCACGTGAAGTGCTTGTTTCAACTGCAACAGTTCATTAGACTTGAACCCAATATGATCGGTGGAAGCAATTCCATCTGGATAGAGAAAAAAAGGTATAATGTAACAAATAGCATAAAAAAGTTTGGATGGGAATAGAAACAGCATGGCTAAACAGCAACTACAGCTGAGCCTTATCATATTAGGCAGGATAGAGATACATTGATAACATAAATGAATGTAAATCATGGTATTTTCGAATGGATCATATACCTGATACAACAGAGCCGTCAACAACATGTTGGAAATTTGAAGCATCCATGAGGCAACTGTCAGTTTCGGCTAGGGATGTTAGGTCTGGCTGCTCCCATCTCTTTCTAGGATAACTTTGGACATTTTCGCGTGCAGCATTATATACAAAGTGAGCTTTCAAATTCTCAAGGCACTGCAACACGGGCACCATGGATCCCTACAAAACTAAATAATTAGTACAGAACTTACATAGTGCAGTAAAGAAAAATGGAATCCCAGTGTCATGTTTGGACAGAGCCATTCTGTTTCTATTATTATTCACAGCACACCCAGCCTAAGCTCGTATAAAGCTGAGTACTAATCCAACTGAAGTAAATATTAACCTCACAATAATAAAATACTAAACACCTCAATCAAATCATACATTGTTTCTCTTTCATTGTGTGGCAAAATGTAAAACTAACTAACCATCTATTTCCAAGACAAATGGAATATATTTATCTAGCCAACCCTTCAATCAAGGACAACCACAACAAATTACAAAATACAGCCAAAGACATATAGCTCAGTTGCATTGCACATAAGGAACTTATACCTGCTCAAGGTCTGACAATTCAAATCCTGGCAATCCCAGTTCATCCAATGCCACCAAAAACCTTTCAACATCCATCGGCTCATTCAAAGAACCACTTCCCTAATGTTAAAAACACATTCCTTATAAAAAAAGAGGACAAAAACAATATAATGAAAAAAGCTCTAACTTAATTTCAGCTCAATTAGAAAACAATGAAAGTTACTAGTGTAATATATAATTGCAAGAAGATAAATACAACACAATGCAAGATATTCATTCCACTACCTCCAATGAACCAGGAACCAGCTTGTCCAAAATGCTACATAATACCAATCCATCACTCAAACATGCCCTCAATTCCTCTTCCGAAGTTTCTAAAGGCAGATTAAAGTTCGGAAGCTCGGCATTTATCCACTTAATCAAAGACGAGAGCCGGCCACCTGCAAATCCGGCAACATTTCCACCTCCCTCCGGTTCCCACTGCATGCTCCTTTCTCAGAAACTGCAATTCCGGCAAAGCAAATGAAAAAAAAAAAAAAACAATTTCATAAAAAAAATTAAAATTAAATACCAAATTGCATCTACATTGTAACATTATAAGCCCGCAAAAATTATAATTTATGAATTAATAAATAATATGAAGAAAAAAACAAAAAGAAAGAGAAAGAGAAAAGAAAAAGAACGGTGAGGAGCAGATCGGAGCGGAACCTGTGTGAATGGAGCAATGCGGGAATAAGGTGATGGAGGAGAATGCAAGCCTTAAAAGGAAAGAGGAAAAAAAAGAAAAAATGTTGGAATTGCAACGGAAATGGAAGAACGCGGTTTGGGATCGAACAAATTACAGAGAAAAATGGGGAAAGAAGAAGGGAAATTAGGTGAGAGAATCGAGATAGAGATAGAGATAGAGAGAGAAAAAGAGAGTGAGAGTTGGTGTTGAAAGTTGAAGGAAATCCAAGGAAGAAAAAAGGTGGAGTTTGAGCAATGGGTGTTTTGTTTTGAAAATTGAGAAAGCGTGAAAGCGTCAGGGCAAGGCCAGGAATTTTGGAAAATTGGTAAAGGCTGGGTCGAATTGGATTACAAGCCAATTTTAGGAATTTGAATCTTAACTCATTCTTAATTCAAATTTTATTTTATTTAAATACTACTATTCGCTTTCATTAAAAGAAAAGTGCTGTATTTATTTCTTATTTCTTACTCCTTCGTAACTTCCTTGTCATTTTTCTTTGTTTGATGGAGACTTCTTTGTCTTTGGTCTTTGTTGCTTTAAAGATTGGGAGTATATATTAAAAAAATACTGATAAATATATATTGTTAGTTTTATTTATTTATTTATTTATTTATGATGATTTTGAAATTAGTCTTTCTCGTATAACATTCCCGCCGGCCTCTTTGTTACTGTAATTCTTAATTTGGAAAAAATTGTCCTACGCTCTTTTATGACGGGAAAAAGTTATCATATACTCAACGCTTATTTATATATTCTTATTTACAAAATATAAACTTTAAACTTTCAAAAAAAATACCCAACTTGAAATCTTGTTTTTTTAATTCTTTTTTAAGAAGAGTATTGTGAGATGCCGAGGGTTTTTTTGAACAGTTTAATCAGAGACAATTATGTTAAATTTGTCTGAGAGAGAGTTTTATTATTTATTGTGGTTCTATAAAAAAATCATTTTTTAAATTTTATTTTCAATACTTTTGAATTTACTCCCAAATCATTTCAAAGAAATTTATTTGTATGTAAAAGCTATTCAAAATTTTATAAATTTCAACAAAAATTGATAAATTTATCAAGTTTTAAAAAAGAAAATTTGGAGTAACTTTTTTTGGTTCAACTGTGATAGAACTAGGGCTGGCAATGAACCAAACCAACTCGAAGATAGTTCGAAATTCGACTCGACAATTAAATCGTTGAACTAGGTTCATGAACCAAATGAGTTGAGTATGAGCGAAAAATTAAGTTCGTTAACTAAATGAGCTGAACTTGAACTATACATAGTTTGACTCGTTAGGTTCATGAGTCAACTCGATTACATATGAAAAGAATTATACTGTCTTTAAGATTAGGTTTAAATATTTACTTCAAATCTTAGACAAATTTAATCTTCAATTTAGTAGTTTTTGAATTAGACTCTCAAATGTATCTCTTGAAAGTTGTGTAGGTTTTGAATTAGTAGATTTCGAAGATAAAGTTAGATTTCGAAGATAAAGTTAAAAAATATATATTTATTTAAAATGTCAAATATACTAAAAAATATATATATATTTAAAAAAATAGTTTTTAAGTTCGTGAACCATGTGAGCTGAACCTAATGAGATGAACCTAACGAGTCGAACCGAACTGTTCGTGAACTTATAACGAGTCGAGTTTGAGCTTAAAAAAAAGTTCGTGTCAAACTCGAACTCGAACTCGAATTCGAACAATTCTTAACGAGTCGAGCCGAGCTGAGGTGAGTTCGACTCGACTCGACTCATTTCCAGCCCTAGATAGAACAATAAATTTGAGAAGGTTGCTAGAAGTTATATACAAAAATAAAAACTAATTGTATCAAGTTATAAATTTTGTATTTATTTTTTTAATATTGTTTTGTGTAGTTGATGTGAGATGTCTCGGTTATTATGTGGTAAAGGCAACTTATTAGTGCTCATTTAATTTGGGTATAGTTGTACACCAGTTGGGTTGGGTTGGATTTGTTTTAATTCGTTATTCAAATAGTTTAAATCTTGATAGATTGGGTTCTTCGTCCAACCCTCAATTTCTTTGTCAGAATCGATCCAAACCGAACATTTCATGTATGAGTTGAATTTGTGGGTTGTGTTTCAAGTAAAAAATATTTTTTTATGATTCTTTTTTGTCGATTTAAAAAAAATGTAACACGATTCAATATAATCATACTCATTTATAACATTCAATTTTGATGAAACACTGTTGGCTGAAATTTCGACACTCATTAATGTTGAGAATGAGTTAGGAGGTTCAAAGTTATATGTTAAAGGAGAACATGATGATTTCAACAATAACTAGTGATAAGGACGTTTCGACGTGTGTGAGGATTTGAAATGGGTTGTTGGACGTTTGAAGAGTTATTTTGAGAAAGAATATATTATTTTCGACAAGGAAATATCTAAGGTCTAGTCAAAGAGATTTTATTTGATCTTCTTCTTCAACAGCAGACAGAACATGACAGGTTTCTTGGATAGAGACCTCAGAATCCTGCTGAACAGATGTCCCTTCAAGAAAAGTCTTAAGAGGATCCTAAACACTTTTGGCCATCATGCATGTGTTTAACAATCTGAACACACGCCTATCAGCACCATGGATACACCACTTCTAGAAAACAAGAGTCAACACAAACTCTTCCTCACAAGGAACACTCGAAACACACTCTTTGGTGACAAAATTCCAAGATCAGTTGTCCTTCCAATGATCAAACAGTACCAGAAAAATACTCCCTGAAGCTCACCCGAAATTGACTAGGGTGCCAACTTTAATGTCAATTGAAATTTTTGGCACATCTAACACAGGATGGTGATTCTGATGTCTAAACATCATAGTACAAAGTCAAGACATATGTTTTGACATCTTGAGTCTGACAAAACAATATTACCAATCGTTAATGACGCAGAAACTGTAAATTGCAGAATGGTAAATGACACAGTTAATTATTAACCCAGTTCGTGTAACATCACTGTCGCTACTGCGAAAATCGGCGCCGGCTTGACAGGAGAGTCGCCACCGTGCGTTATTTATCCCTCAGAGCGGGAAAGGAAACGCTCGAAGTAAACCTCGCAAAGACGGGAAAAAGGTATGGTCATCGCAACCAAAACCTGGATTCGGGAGTCGGTTACGCAAGGGGAAGGTATTAGCACCCCTCACGTCCATCGTACTCGATGGGATCCACGCTTGGTGTTTATAGGTAAAAGGGTGTATTATCTATCTACGCTAATGGCTGGTCTGAAAAGAAAATAAAAGGACAGGACTCGACAGAACATACGGTGTTCTGGGCCTACGTACTCCCTCGTGCAATGGGAAAGTCAGAGTCAACGTAGTTCGACTTCCTACGTCTAAACGGGGGAAAGGTTGCTCGCCAGGACATCGCGTCCTGTGCCTACGTACTTTCATCTGAAATGAAAGATCAGAGCAAACGTAGTTCGGCTAACTACGGGTAAACAGGGGCTCCCACACAACAGTGAGAAAACAAACTGGTCCTAAAGGCTCGGGAACCTACAAACTACGATCTGGTCTCAAATGCGCATGGGCAAGAGAAAAGGATAACAATTAGTCGTTAGCGGGAAAGTCTCGATCGCACAGCCGCGAGAGAACAAAGGTTAGTTGTTAGTGTGCTCGCTAGGATATCGCATCCTATGCCTACATATCTTCGTCTGGAACGAAGAATCAGAGCAGCTGTAGTTCAGCTAACTACGGATCAAGCTACTCAAAAACTCCTACAGAAAGGAAAGGGAGACCCTAGCACTATAGCTGAGAAACAGGGGCATCTATCTACTGCTATCACACCTGGTTAACCATTCTAATGTCTATCATAACAACTCCGCAGCGGAGAAGTCAGAGCTCCTAAGGGATCATGGCAACAAGACTAAACCACAGACAAGAAACTGCAACGTAAAGGAATACTGAAAATATGCATGAATGCAACAACTAGACAAACAAGGCACGGAGGCCGCAAACCACAAAGGCAAGGGAGCTCAGCTCTACCGAATACCAACAAGCAAAGCCACGCAATAACAAACAAGCAGAAGGAGGACCACCTCAACTTCTTATGCACACAAAGTCTACTTCTAAGATGCACCTATTCAGAACTGTCTAGATGAATACCTAAGTCTAATGCAACATAACATCACACAAGTCAAACAATACAAAGAGACTAACCCTGAGCAGGGCCTATATCTATAAAACAAGAAACTAATCCTGGGCAAGGCCCCTAACAAAACCTGAAACAATCTCCTAATATCTCTCCAACAAAACTCTATACAATACCCTAAACAGGGATTTAAGCAACAACTCTAATCAAAACCCTAAGCAAGAGGAATCAATCCCAGTCTCCAAGCTTCAGAACAAGCTTACCAGAGAAAGGAAGCTAAGCAGCCAAGCTCATAGTGCTTTCCTCAGGAAAGTACCAAGAGGTTACTACCCAGGAGTCATATCCTATGCGGCTCGACAACTGTGATTAGTTTATATTCCTCCTCAGGAGAAATTAAACTCACATGAAGGCTCCGGCATCACTGGATATTTGAGAAATCCTATATGCGCTAGGGGAACTAAGTGAGCAGACTCATAGGACCTTCCTCAGGAAAGTACTAAGAGGCTGACACTTAGGAATCGTACCCTACGTGGCTCAACAACTGTGATCAGTTTACATTTCTCCTCAGGAGAAATTAAACTCACAAGTTGGCTCCAACATCACTGGATACTTGAGACATCCTAGATAAACTACTGGAACTAAGTGAATAGACCCATAGGACCTTCC